ATTTGCATAGCAAAAACATTGTCCATTGTGATTTGAAGCCGGAAAATGTATTGCTCTCATCCGATAACGAATTTCCACAAGTTAAACTATGTGATTTTGGTTATGCTAGAATTATCGGTGAGAAGTCTTTTAGGCGGTCGGTTGTGGGAACACCAGCATACTTGGGTAAGTAAAAATGAATGGATGTGTAACAATTTATGCCTAATATATTCGGGCGCCTCTATAATGAAATCGCCCATAACAAAAAATCCTCTGTAACAACGCTTTTTTAAGAAAATGCGAAAGTTTTTTATTAGAATTTGGAATTATCTACTGGTACTGCTTAGTCACGAATTCCTCTCTGTTACGAAGTATTTCAAGAAGGCAAAATGCTTTCTCTTAAAAATAACTTCTCCTTAATGATTCATTTTAAAAGCACTGCAACAGAGTTCTCTCTCAATTTCCCCAATTTTTCTTAAAGTAACATTATTACTGGTTTAAAAAAAAAAAAACAAAAAAAAGCAAATAAGATAATCACTAATTTAAAAAAAAAAACTTTCATGATGCCTGCCCGAGCAAGCAAATTTTTAGCTCCTTTACAACTAAGTGCTAAGCGGTCCCAAACAACTTCATTATAGAGGAATCCACCTGTAGTTAACTTCAGCTCTTGGAAGCACTTTTTCGGTTTTCAAATTTTAATGATTTTATTCTACCCTTACAGCTCCTGAGGTGCTCCGCAACAAAGGCTACAACCGTTCACTGGATATGTGGAGTGTTGGTGTTATTATTTATGTCAGCCTCAGCGGTACGTTCCCCTTCAATGAAGAGGAGGACATAAATGATCAGATACAAAATGCCGCTTTTATGTATCCGCCAAATCCATGGAAGGAGATCTCCTCTAATGGTATAACACGAAATATGTTAAGAACAATGGATCACAAACTTTTATATTTTTTTCATTCACCTACTACTATCCCATTCCTGTGTGGAATTGCTCGTTGGTTCCAACAATCAAGCAAATTTTTTTCTATGGATAAGTTTACGAGATATTTGCCATTTACCGTTATTCAGCTTAATAAAATAGTGGTTCCACGTATATCTTGCGCACCAATTTAACAATTTTAATACGAGATACGGCAAATGAAAGCCAACAAAATTCTTCATAAACCGCCCTGCAAAAAATTGGACTAATCCGGGATGACTTCGGGAGCAATCGCAAAGGAGCATGCGACTAATACCAGTTTTGACCTCTTTATATGGAATGAACTGATCGCTTTTGTTCGAGCATGTCCTATGAAGAGACTAATTGTTCCCCTTTATACCCGAACGGGTATAAAAAGCGACTAGTAACTTAAAAAAAAAAAATAAAAATAGAAATTTGCGCCAGCTGAGATTCGAACCGGGGTGCTCAGTTTTGTTAGGCGAATACTATCTCTGCGTGCCAACGCCGCACATGAAATTTCATTGACTAAGTGCGTACATATCATTAAATAATAATAATAATAGTACCCGTTAGAGATAAGTTGGGGACTAGTTGAGTCGAGACTAATTGAACTCCATTAGTACCCTTATGAGACTAGTTGGGACTAATTAATGCCCAATTGTACCCGATTGAGAGTAATCTCGGAATACTCTCTTTAGAGATTAGTCGCACAATTTTTTGCAGGGCGTAAATACATAAATTTTCGATAATTCTTGATTTCTGAGAACATGGTGTTTCCCAGGTGTTCATGGCCTATGAGTAACATTCTTTCCTGCTCATTTTTCACACAATAAATCTTTGCGCATTTTCATTTGACCACTCATTCCTTCTTTATTCATCCATCTATTTCTTCATTAGGGCTTGATTTTTTTTGCAAAAAAATAGCACAGAATCCATTACTTTTTAAATTTTTTCCCTGTTAAATTTGGTTTTTTTTCATTTTTTTTTTTGCTCAAAAAAGCACAAAAAAAATGTGGAATGATTAATTAATTTTTGAGAAACTATCAGGCGCATGGAAAGGTGAGAGAAATTGAGAAATTTGTTCGCTTTTAATTGCCGTACTTCATAACAAAATAGTTCGATTGGTTCGTAAGATATACCCTATTGAGTGGGACCACTTTTTTTTTAAGCTGAATGACGGTGAATTGAAAATACCTAAAAAAAGGTATCCATCGAAAAAAATTAACTCAATTTTCGGAATCACCAAGCAATTCTACATAGGAATTGAATAGTGGCATTAATAAAACATTTTAGCTATAAACAAGTGTAATTAACCTCAGTACGCATATAAAACTTTCATCTATCCTTTCAGCCATCGACCTCATCAACAATTTGCTGCAAGTGAAACAGCGTAAACGCTATACTGTCGATAAAAGTCTACAACATTATTGGCTACAAGATAAACAAACCTATAGAGATTTGCGCAATTTGGAGGGTCAGGTGGGCACACGTTATTTAACGCACGAAGCGGACGATATACGATGGGCTAGTAGCGGTGACATGTGACCTGGTGGCGGAGAGAACAATACCAATATACGAGAAGAAGTCAGGGAAGAAGAGGATAAATTACAAAACAAAGATCACCAGCAACTGCAAGAGCAACAAATATCACAAATGTCAACCAACGAACCACGGCGTACAAATCAACATCAAAAATTATCCATACAAGAACCAACGCAGCAACATCAGCACATCGATGCGGAAGCTTGTGGTTGTCGCAGTTTACCCGGTACACCGAAAGTAGAAGCTATTGGCGATAAGGCCATAAAATGGATGCGTGGCCATTTATGTCGAAATGTGAAATGAGTTTTAAATTAAATAAAAAGCAAACTCCAAATTATAGAATAATAATAGTAAGACAAACCCTAAAGTTAGCTCAAACAGAGCTTTGGTCAAAATTTCTGAACATTTAAGGGCGAGTTTTTCAGTGCATGGTCAAATCGGACCGTGGCTTAAACTTAGTTTAAACGCTGGAGTTAGCTTGTTTAAACCAAAATTTGGTTGTCAGCCAGCTATTAAATACATACACATAAACGCAGTTTACGAGTATGTGTTCTAAGTTGAAACGTGCTCTGAAAAACTGGCCTAAGTTATATACATAAGTACTTCTATTACATATATATAAAACGTACTACATAATAATGTAAAAACTTATGTTTATATGTACAGTCATGTGCAGAATATTAAGACCGTCAAATAAAATTTTGGTGGTTAAGTTTAAGCTTTTAGAACTTACATACATACTACTTACATATCGAGCCCTAACCGCCAAAATAACGTAAGCGACATTTTGTTCAAAATTTACTTTTTGATGCAGAAATATTCCTAGAGTATCTGCAAACATTTCTGCATCAAAAGGAAAATTTTGAAAAAAATTTCGCTTACGTTATTTTGGCGGTTAGGGCTCGATATGTATGCAATATGCATTTCGATTAAAATGTGTATCATATAATACTTAAGCTCGTTTTATAGATTTAGCGTAATTTTTACCGTTGAACTTTTAAGTTTTCCGTTAAGCGCAACATCGTAAATGCACAACAACGGGTTAGTGAGCCAATAAAAGACAAAAAAATGTTGCTCTGCGAGAATCACATTATAAACAATTTTAGTTTAAGTTTAGTTTTTTCACAATTGCGGATTAAATAAGTGGTCAATATTTGCAGAACTTTCTGGTGGTCTTAATATTTTACACATAACAGTATATCTACATACATTCGTGCATAGATAGCTTAAACGCACCTCAGTGCCCCCAATAGAGTAAAGTTAGTCTCTTCAAAAAACAAAAAAAAAATCCTTTACATAATAAAAAATTACATAAAGAATCGAAATATATATATATGTGTGTACATCTGGATGTGTGAGTGTAGCGATTCACTGTACTTTGATAGGTCACAACTATGGACTGTGTATGTAACTATATAGAATTTTTTTAAAGAATTTTCCTCTAAACAGTACCTTACACGATCTTCGTATGGAATTGTAATTTATTATATACATACATACTTACGTAATATATAGCACTTATAAAAATTGCATAAGTAAGAGTTTACGGGAAACACAAATCAATTTAATCCAACTATATAATATCGTAATTATTCAAAAATTTTGTGCATATGTATGTATGTATGTATGTGCATTGCACATACCATATGTATGGATGAACATACATATATGTATATGTAAGCATATAAACATGTGTAGTTAGTTTGCCAAGTAAAGACAAAGCTTAAAACAACTGAACTATTGTGCTAAATTTTTCTCTACAATTCAATAACTCAACATATGTAGTTCATACAAAACTTAAAATATGTACATATGTATGTATGTATGTTAGCATAATAACAATTTTACATATAAATACATAAATAACTACATATGTATGTTCTGTGCTATATATACCCCTAGTATGTAAAACTTTTAAGATCACTAAGATCCGTCTTATGAAATAAACTGTTATTATTATGATGCTCATCTTTATTTTTCGAAATAAATATTGGTAACTTTGCTGTTAAGCAAAAGTTAAGAAATTGGATTTTTTTAATTATATTTGTATGTAAATATTCTAACACGAAAATTTATATTTTTATTTTTTAGCAAATACCCGGCGTGCTTCACTTTACCTTAAAAGTATTTTTGTGTTATTACTCCCTTCGAACACTCTTATGGTTCCATTCATAAAAAAAAAATGAATTTAAAAAGCTTTGCGAATTGAGATTTTCAAAACAAATATGAGTGTTACTCATATTTTCGAAAGTACTTAGATTTAGTATCGACTTTCTCATGCGAATTTAATTTATGGTCTTATAACTCAAGTCTACTTATCACGCGCTTTCTTCAAATGGTAACTAAGACAATATCTATGTACCTTTGCTTATCAATTTAACTGATTTAAATTTTTCAAATAGTAGGCAAATATATATGTACATGGAAAACTTTGAGCGCTTTGAGCGACCTCTAAATATTTTTTGATTTCAAAATAAAAAATAGGGGTATACTTTTTTTCGATATAGAAAAAATCTTACAATTCCGACTTTACTGTTTTTGCACCACCCTAATGTACATATACATACATATGTATTTATGTTGGAAATGTCGCTGGTTCTTTTAGGAAAAACAGTAATATTTGTTACTTGTGCATTCGTATGCAACGGTTGACATTCTTAAAATTGCAAGTCACATATTGTACATACATATCTACATATGTACATTATATGTAAAATCATGAGGCATGAAATGAATGTCTATAACGCACCCACAAAGAACAAAAATAAAAGAGACGATTGTATGCACTAAATTGAAACTCTTAGCTCAATGTAATCTTTATGCACGCGAATGAAAATTTCTTTCAGTTCTTCGACAGCTTTGGACGCACCAAAATGTTAGCTTTACACTTGCGTGCTTTATTGTTTATAATTTCAATTAGACTTCAAGACCATCAAGTAGCGTTAGCAAACAACACTGAGGCCAAGAAACCCAATCAGCACCCCTCTAACGAAGATATGACAACACCTAGTCCAGAATGGCTACAATATCAACGTGAACGCTTTGGCAACACAAAAGATATAGAAAGTTTGAAGAAATTGCTTGATCCAGCTTCGCAACTGCTAAAAAACAAAGCCGGCATAATAGATCCAACCTCGACACCTTTAAAACCGAGCGAGATGTCAGCAGCAATGGCAACACAACCGCTTAAAAGTCATGGTAAGGCTGCTGGTGAGAAAGTTTCAAATGGTGATGAACCAAAGGACACAGAAGAGATCAGCCATGATGAGGAGGACGAAGGGGAAGCAGATGATATGAGATCTAAAGAGGGCAATACAAATATTTTTCCACATGTCATTACTGGCATACAATACCCATCAATGCAAGGATTTCTTAATTTTATAAGAACTGTGCAGCGTAACTGGGTTAGGCAATCAAGATTGACGATCGAACAAAAGATTAATAAATTGAAAGGATTGAAAAATAAAATTATGCGCATGATTGGTAAAATTTTTGAAAGAAAAAAATGTTGGTCTTTATATTTTTCTTTCAACTTAATCTCTTTTATAACAGAGGATCAGTTCCATATGATTTGGACGCCAAAAGTGCATATGCGGCGCAAACGTGGTTTATTGGATGAATCCAACCTCAATTTTCCGCCGGAGGCAGCCTTAATTAGCATTAACTTTTTAACGTTTGCAGTGTTTTTAATTAAACTGGTGCTAGTGAGTTCACAAGAGTTTAATTTCCAATTGATTATTACTTATAATTTCTTTATTTTTTTACAGCAAGTGGTGCACATTGTAAAAAGTAAACACTACACCCTAAGTGGATTTGGTTTTACTAATACCGATACCATGACAAAATCTACATAAATTTTAAATAAATATGGCTTAATAGAGGGTTAAGGTCTACCGCAACAAAAAAATAAAATAAAATTCATATATCTGACGTATTTATGGGCCAATTTGTCTGCTTTTTTAAATATATACTGGCTATGTAAGTAGAAACATTTCTGCGAAGTATGGTCTTGAAGTTGAAGCATAATAAATAGGGATGTGCTGGGTATCCGGCAGATATACGGAATCCGGCTTATGCAGCCGTTTTTCTGTTATCCGACTATCCGGCCGGATACTGACTAAAATCCGGCCGAATTTCCAGATATTGAATATAGAAGATTCAGTTTAAAGATCTAGTTCAGAATTTTTTATTTTTATTTTTATAATAAAATTAAGTAGCATCCAATTAGTAATTAAAGTCAGAGCTGTTAAATTTCCATTACACAGGTCTGCAAAAAAAATGGGTTCGGAATGTTCTATAAAAGTGTAGTGTCATTTCCGAAGTAATTTTTTGCGTAGAATCCGAATCCGAGGTTTAAATTGCTCTATCACGTCAGGACTTTGAGATATCCTAACCTAAGGTGCAAAAAACGCTGTTTTTGCCCATTTTTGAGGTTATGTAGCTACGAAGATTTTGCTCTTCATAAAAAAGTAGACACGGTATTTTAAAGCATAAGTCTTCCACTTTTAAATGCCGTTGAGTTTGCTCAAATATCTTAACTTTTCACTGAGATATCGCATTTTGAAGTCTCCATGTTTGTGAATGTAATCGACCGTATCACGTCTCATGTTATCTCAATGCATTTTCGAATATCGAAAAATTCACAAACATGGAAACTTCAAAATGCGATATCTCAGTGAAAAATAAAGATATTTAAGCAAACTCAGCGGCATTTAAAAGAGGAAGACTTATACTTTAAAATACCACGTTTACTTTTTTATGAAGAGCAAAATCTGCG